AGTAACGACTTTCTACTTGTTGTCTTTTTAAAAATATAAGAAGTAGAAATTAAAAAGTAGGCTGAAAAGTAATTACTCAAGTAAAGTACAGATACACAAAAATTCTACTTGAGTACAGTAACAAAGTATTTGTACTTAGTTACTTTACAGCTCTGTCATGAAGAGACCAGCAGCGTGGTCCGGTCCACAGACCCTCAGAGCCGGTCCTACCTTGCTGTGGATGAAGGTGATGCCGTCCCTGTGGCCGGCCAGCTGTCCGACGGGACGCGGTCTGTCCTCCCGCAGCGTCCGTCTGTCCCACACTTTGCACAGGGCGTCGTCGCTGCCGGAGAACAGCAGCTGGGACGAGCTGTCGGCGAACGCCACGGCGTTCACGTCGTCCTCGTGGGCGTCGATCTGACGAGGACACCAAGGTCAGACCGTGAAGGGGTGAGTCTACGGAGTTACTTTTGTGCCATCGGTTTGAGCGCGCAGTAACAATGATTTGAGAGCAGATWTTAATACGAACAAACAATAATTTGAACCGTGTGCGTTCAAATCACACACGTGGCTCCCTCCTCCCTCCTCTCAACCTCCCCTCTGCTCGCTCACAGCTCTGTCTGCACTCACAACCCAAACTGTAAATGAATTACATCAGCAGCCAATCACAGACGGGCTTTTTTCATCCAATCAAAGCACTTATTGCAAATCTACCAAACCAAGAGGCTGAAGTGACAAAATCTTAGATGTATTAAATCAGCAAATAATAATAATAAGATATATTTTATATATTTAGTTAAGCATTCAAATATGCTTACTGTCATTGTGTATTTTAGGCAATGCATCTCTGTAATCCAAGTAGAAAAAAAAACAAGTTTAACTTAACTTTTTTAATTATTATTATTATTATTAGGCTATTATGCAATATTTTTTAATTACATTAAGATAAATAACTGTTTTGATATTATTTGTGGATATTCAAATTCATTTATTAGTCCCTCTTCATTGCTGATATTCTGTTGTATCAAGAGTGCTTAATTTGAATATCTACACATAATATAAAAACCAACAAGAGAATCCTAATGTATTTTAGAAATATTTTCTAAAATTACAGTGACCACATTTTTATGCTTAAATATTGTTGGGCTACAAAATTTATCATCTTTTGCTGATTTAATACATTTAAGATTTTGTCACTTCAGCCTCTTGGTTTAGTAGATTTGCAATAAGTGCTTTGATTGGATGAAAGAACCCTGTCTGTGATTGGCTGCTGATGTGGTTCATTTACATACAACTGAGMGCAGAACTGTGAGCGAGCAGAGATAAAGTTGAGAGGAGGGAGTTGAGTGAGCGTGTGTGTGATTTGAACGCACACGGTTCAGATTATTATTTATTTGTATTAATATCTGCTCTCAAATCAGTGTTACTGCRCGCTCAAGCCGATGGCACAAATGTAACTCCATACCAGTCCTGTCGCTGCAGCGAGCCCGAAACAAAAAYGACAACAGGAAGCCGTGCTCACCTTCAACGTTCGCTTGTTCTCCTCGAGGTTGAAAACGTACAGGCAGCCGTCGTTTGCTCTGAAAACAGAGACGGGAAACACCGGGTTCASCTCCACGCAGGAGTTACGGCTAAAACCACAGCTGTTCAAGTTAAAACTCACCCGCCCAGGATCTCTGTGCCGTCTGTTGATGCAGCCAGAGAAAACACGCAGAACCTCCTCTCATCTGGACTACAGAGCACAACAAACAGATATATTACCCAGCAGCCACCCTGACCCAATCACAGACAGGTCGTCACTGTCAGAGGGGCCGGACTAATGAGCTCCACGTGTCACACAAAACTACCAGGGGGCGKGGCTAGATTTATATTCAAGATGTTTTTATTGGGCACCTACAAATTTGTTTTTTTTTAAAGAAATTAATAAAATTTGAAATAAAATTAAAAAATAAGAAATAAAAATTCCAAATGGCTGCAACAGCTAACTCCAAATGGCTTTAATTCAGTTGTTTTAAGAAATACTGAGCTGAAATGAGTGATCCAAAAACATGCAGRTTGCTAAACTTATAATTCAGCCATTTTTAGACACAAAAAGCCGAAAACAATTTACCAAATTCTAAACGCTAATCAAAAATTAGCTAGCGTTAAAAGGCTTTAATTCAGCCATTTTAAGACTTAATGAGATGAAAAAGAAACACATGTCGATTACTGACGCTAACCCGAATTAAGCTAATCACTAATRCTAATGCTAATTTTACAAAAGGCTATAATTCAGCCATTTTTGAACAGCTGAGAATATATACATTACAGTAGTATCAAAGAACAGACTCTAAATGCAAATACATGACATATTATGCCCAAATCAAATTCTGGAAGTGGTCATTCAACTAGATCTGTTACAAAAGGACAACTGATATTACCAACTTTTAAAAACTGCTACGGCCAGAGGTCTTCTTCTATGTTTATACTAAAGCATGGAATGACATTCCTCAAAACATAAAGTCCATTTCAAAACCACAGCCCTTTAAGAAGAATCTTGTCTGCCATCTGCTGGACACTTTCTGTTATGCTCATATTTAGACGTCTTATTTTGCAAATGCTGCCTTCCTGAAATTTGTTATGCTTGTTTGTCTTTGTGTCTATGGTGTATAATGATGTGATTGTGATGCTGTAATTCTGAGTGTTTTATGTGCTGCAGAACAGGAACCTGCTTTAAAACAGCAATTATGCTGAGTCAGGCTTGATTTTTAATAATCTTTTCCTGTTAAATAAATAAATCAAAATCAAACCAAATCAATCCCCATTGTTTGCATTGTTAATTATTTTGGGGGTGGGTAATCGGGGCGGAGCCAGAGGGGTGGCCCCCTGGCTCCGCCCCTGATTTGAGGATGGATGTTGTGGTGATAATGGTGGTAATGAAGGGAGAGGAGGACAGATTTCCTGCTCTGTAAATTTATAGGTTGTTATGAGGGAAACACTGACTTGAGGTCCAGGGCGATGTGGTTTTCACCGTCTCCGTCTATACTGCACAGGTGAACTGCAGCGAGGACACAAACAGACAGAACCACCGTCAGATTCTATTATTCGTGAACATCTTCACTTAAAAAAGAAGGATGTATCAGTTAACTTTTGTACCTTTTTTATCACTAAATGGATAAATACAGTCAGAGTCTTGGTTCTGTATTTTATTCTCTTTGGAACATGTTAAACCTCAATTATTTGAAACTGAGAATAAGATGACTGGGTATAAAGAAAAAAAAGTATTTTAGAGAAGCTGAATCACTCAGAAGAAAAGATGGGCAGAGGTTCAAAAGAATTTCGAAATAAAGTTCCTCAACAGGTCAAATTTACCTCATTTTGACCAAAAAAAAAAAAGATAAAATTTCTTCACTTAAATACTTGATGTGTTGATTTTGTTYCATTTTGAATACAATTTTGTGAAATTGGTAAAATTAGTAATATTTAAAACAAWGTTCCAACTCAAAGTGCTGACTCAGCTTTTTTACAACGTAAATGCTTAAAGTGCCTGTGACGTGCATATTCTTCAAATATAAAAAGTCAAATAAAACATCTTTAGATTTAAGAAACTTTTTTTTTACTCATTTTGTCACATGATGCGTATACGTGTGACTTAAGACACATGTAAGTGCATGTTATTTGGTAATATCAGTATTATGGTCTGTGTTTAAAGTGCCTGTGACGTGCATATTCTTCAAATATAAAAAGTCAAATAAAACATCTTTATATTTAAGAAACTTTTTTACTCATTTTGTCACATGACTGGCATATTTTCTTTTGACCTTGTCTCAGCCAAAGTGAAACAGGAAGTGACATCAAAGGGGAACTCTTTAAGAAAGATAACTCTCTGGTACTTGTTTAAAGAAACATTACTTTTTGAACTTTGACTCTTGTTCATCTCTGGTAGTGATTCAAAATGATCTGAAGAAACATCAGATTCTTCTCTACAGTTTGTCTTGTTAGCAGTTGTAGCTACGCTCTGTTCACATTCAGACATTCCCCTTCGACATCACTTCCTGTTAATTCTCATGCAAATATCTCAACAACTGTTCATCTCAGCAGCATAAAAATAGTTTTGCAATATGTTATCGGTGTTATCTTTCCAAAAATGAATTCATATTTATTTTTTAAAAATTGATGTCACAGGCACTTTAATAATTCCAGGTATTTTATTATTATTTTTGTTTTGTCAGCCTCCTGAATCTCAGGAGT